AGGTACATATGACTGCTTGAGCTCAGGAGTTTTGAGACTCTGAACAAGAGTGAGACCCCCGTCTTTACTAAAAATCAAAAAACCAGCCAGGCTTAGTGGCAGGCACCTGTAATCCCAGCTACTAGGGAAGCTGAGGCAAGAGGATTGCTTAAGCCCAAGTTTGAAGTTGCCGTGAGCTATGACACCATGGCACTCTTCCCCAGGGTGATAAAGTAAGACTCTGTGCGGGGTGGGGAAAGGAAAGGGAAAAGGAAGGGAAGGGAAGGAAATAAAAAAGGAGGTATAATTCAGAGATAGGGTACTTGACTGCAAAAAACAGAAATAATTTTCCTTGCTACAGTAACTATTAGCTCCTAATTATGATCTTACTATTAGTAATACAAAGCTTTTCATAAAAAACATTAATCAAGGGTGGCGCCTGTGACTCAAAAGAGTAGGGCACTGGCCCCATATGCCAGAGGTGGCGGGTTCAAACCCAGCCTCGGCCAAAAACTGCAAAAAACAAAACAAAACAAAACATTAATACCTCTAATTCAACAACCAGGACCATGTGCTGTGCTAATGAGTACTTTTAAAATTTTTTAAAAATGAAAAAATTCCTCGGACTCCTAAACTGCTGGGATTACCCTCTAGCAATTTTAATACCAGTCACCAGAGCAATCTGGTCTCTAGCCCAGCCTGTTGTGAACAGAAATATTACCTGGTTTGGTTGGGGCTTTAGCCTGAGCTTTAGCTACAATAGGTGTTTTCTTTGGCTTCTGGTTCTTTGGTGCCTCATCATCTGAGCTTGAATCAGAATCAGAATCTGAGCTCTTGGCCTTCTTAGGCGGAGCTTTGGCTGCCTTGGCTTGCGGTTTAACTCCCTTCTGTTAGAAAACACAAAAGGAGAGGAATCAGCAAAAGCTTCTGGATGCCAACAGAAAATCCCAGGTTCCTGTTACTTTTTAGGGACTCTACAGCACTAAGAGTGAAACAGAATATGAAAAGGGCAAAAAAACCCTCTTAATAAGAAACAAAAAATTGGGGCAGTGCCTGTGGTTCAGTGAGTAGGGCACCGGCCCCATATACGGAGGGTGGCAGGTTCAAACCCGGTTCCACCAAACTGCAACAAAAATATAGCCGGGCGTTGTGGCAATCATCTGTAGTCCCAGCTACTCAGGGGGTTGAGGCAAGAGAATCGCCTAAGACCAGGAATTTGAGGTTGTTGTGAGCTGTGTGATGTCACAGCACTCTACTGAGGGCAATAAAGTGAGACTCTGTCTCTACAAAACAAAAAAACCAAAAAGTTCAGCCAGGCGCAGTGCCTCACACCTGTAATTCCAGCACTCTGGGAGGCTGAGTCAGGTGGATCGCCTGAGCTCAGGAGTGTGAGACCAGCCTGAGCAAGAACAAGACCCTGTCTCTAAAAAATAGCCAGGCATTGTGATGGGTGCCTGTAGTCCTAGCTACTTGAGAGGTTGTGTCAAGAGAATCACCTGAGCCCAAGAGTTTGAGATTGCTGTGAACTATAAAGCCATGGCACTCTACTCAAGGCAACAGAGTGAGGCTCTGTCTTAAAAAACAAACAAACAGGCTCGGCGCCTGTGGCTCAATTGGCTAAGGCACCAGCCACATACACCTAAGGTGG